TTGCTCTGGAACTGCGTCAAGTCTCTAAACTGAGCACCCGCAGCCAGATTCTGATTGGCCACCACTTGTGTCATTGCTTACATAGCTGCAGCCAACACATCATCATTCCTTCCAGCCATACTGCTCAACAACAACAATCCAGGTTAACAGAAAACAACCAACTCTATCCTACAGACAGACTCAAAACACTACACTGGCCGGACGGACCGACCTGCTCTGATACCAACTTGTAACACCCCGTTCCCCCAAAATAAAATAAAGCAAATAAAATAAACACATATCAGAGTTTTTCCCTCAAAAACGGGATGTCACATTTCACCAAACATTTCTTAAATAATTTTCCAATAAAATTGCAGCGGAAAAAGAAGTCTGTCATAAACACATAATACGTATATATACACATCATCAACATCATCATATGTACAACAAGCCGACCATCCGCCCAAAATGTACAAAACATCATCATCATATTCAACACAACAAGATACGCCACAGGGGCACACAAAATCATCAATAAACATGAAAACTCCCAAAAGCCCCGGTTTTACGTATCATAGCAATCCCTACGACATCGCCAAAATCCAAGCTAGCTAAACACCTGGATTATCTGTACTTCCGAAGAAGCACAAACCACAACAATTAACAAAGGGGTGAGAAATCACGATCAAATATTAACGGTATAAATGTACATAAAATAAAAGGCAGAAACATATAAAACGTCATTTCATATACAACACATTCGTACCTACTGTCCCACCATCAATAATCACTACACACAACAATGCAACACATGCCACTCACACAATAATATGCGGTACCGACTCACAACAACGATGGGCACCGGGCCATCAACCCTCCACAAAGGAGCACACATCACCGATGGGCACTGGGCCATCAACCCTCCACACAGGGAGCACAACAACAATATTGATGGACGCCTGGCCATCACCCTCCTCACAGGGAACAACACAATCGATGGACACCTGGCCATCACCTCTCCACTAAGGGAGCACAATAACACAACATGCTATGCATACCCCCAATGCATAACACACACATCAAACATACACAAGCACACACAGTGCATACGGTCCCCTGACCACATCTCGTCATGTATCATAAATACATATACCCCACATCGCATACACATCTGGCATACAAGGTGCATCCGATCCTACCGATCTAATCCATCACGCAACATATACACACAACACACACAAGGCGTATCGATCCTACTGAACCACTCATAACAACATATCAACACAACATACTCAATGCGTAACGATCCTACTGATCCACATATCTCACACCTAGCACATAGTGCATACATATCACATACACATCCATACATATCTATACTTAACACATAATCCACCGATTATGTCAAATGCGATAAACGCCAGCCACACGACCCTTATAACCCTCAACATATTCGCAACCCTCATATATCATCACTACACATCAATCCGATCGCCCTCGGCATCATCAGTTGCACACGGCCCTCAAAGTGGTGGCGGGCAGGCAGAGTAACAATTTAGTGAGAACACGTTTTTATGACTTATGATTTTTATTTTTATGTTTGATGTTTGGTTTTGACTACATATTTTGTTCAAAGAAAAAAAGTGTAAAAAAAGATGGAATAGATGGAATAGTGTTGGACAGATACAAAATCTAGGCTTAATAATGAGATAAAAAAAATATTAAGCATATATTTATAGTCATTGATTTGAGAACCAAACCGAACAACCTCAATTTTAATTGGTTTGGTTTAGTTTTTAAATTGAAGCAAACACACACGTTAAATTATTATTGGTTGATTGTGTAAATGGGCTTTACCCGAGTATTATTCTCTTATTTTAATACCATGATAAAAAATAATTTTTTAAATTTAATTGATATGTATTAAATTATTTTATACCATCAATTAATAACCATTATTAATTTATATGAAATGTTTGTCTTTTATTTTAACTTTATTTAAAGTAGTTTATTTGATTAATGAGAAATGAGATGATGTTTGATAGTGTAAATCAATTTTATACCGTTATTTATTTGTTAAATTAAATTAAAAATTAAAAATTGAAAATTATTTATATGATATGCCATAATAATACATCTGCATTAAACTCTTGATTAATAATGTAAATCTTTTTACACCAATTAAACTCTAATTTTTTATAGAGACAGAGAAATAAAAAAATTAATTTTTAAAAAAAATAAAAATTACTACCACTTGCACAATTACAACTTTACAAGGGTGTAAAATATAAAATCTGAAATTATTCTCCAATTCCCTATCCGTGGCTCTATTATTCAACTGTCAAGTACGCAAATCCCTCGCTAGCAGTTTTGGTGATCTCTCCCTCTGATTTCCTCTGAATCGAATCATCCCGGATAGATAGATAGGTACGCTTCTCCCCTTTTTCAAATCTAGTCCCATTCAACATCGTTTCTTACTCACCTTTTCACTTCCATATTCAGATCCATTTTTTTCCTTTCATTTTCTCATTCACTTTTTCAATTTTACGTTCTCTTCAATTTCCAGAGAAAAAAACTGAAAAATTAATCGTCAACTGAATCTCTACTAGATTTGAATCTCTCGTTAATCGATCTATGATCCTTGCTTCTCAATTTTATAGATACGGCGTATTTATCGTGTATATGAATTATCGATTTCCGTAGTGTTTTCTTTTACTACTCTAGGATTTTCGATTGAGTTTGATTTTAATTTAATTAATTTCCATGGCAATAATAATAAATCTGTTTTTTATTTCATCTATTCACGCATCAAGGAAATTAATAGTAAGAGATTAATAATTGTTGTGGATTAATAGGTTGTTCTGAAAATTTGTGATTCTGATGGATTATTCTGGTTTTGCACTAATTTTCACGTTTGAAACTTATGGTTCTCTTTTATCTAGATCAAATTTGTTGTAATTTTTTTTATCTAGATCAAATTACTTGTTTATTTTATCTTTGAATCATGGTTTTAATAACAGTCGTCTTCAGCGTAAAGACTTTTGTGATTTCGGTCGGTACTGGTTGCAGTCATCCTATGTTATTTATCTTAAAAGGTGTCGATATAGGCAACTTTCGATACCTTTTTGTTGAGGTCGTTTTGGGGTACCAGACCGAACCGATTTTTAAAACCTTAATTTGAATTACACAGGATTATAGCTAAGCCTTCGCTCATTTGATTTGGAGTTGATATAGAAGTTTTTAAAATATGTTTTTATTTTGTAAAGCTCTTATGTATTTGTTATTTCAACTTGCAAGTTGAAATAAAGCGTATCATATTGAATTTTATGATGAACGGTATTTGTGAGATGTTGGATCGAATTCTCTAATATGCATTAGTCAATATTGTTAGGGTTGTTAACAGAAATCTTTACCCCATACCCTATCATTTATTCCTCTATCCCTACCTTCTATGTTTTTTTTTGACTAAAATATCCTTATAAAATTTTTCTAATTTAATTATTTAATTTGAAATTTAATACATAAATCTATCTTTAAACACTACTTAATTGATATGTTTAACAAACATGACAAGTATTATATACTTTCCATAAAAGTATTATATAATTTTGTTTATAAAAATTTTAAACTATAATTTTTTAAAAATTTTAATATTATAAAAAATGAAAAACAAATTATCCATATTTTTAAAAACTGATATTTTTATTAATTTCAATTTACTATCAAAAATATATATTTTTTCTTTTTTAATTCATATTTTATGTTTTCAGTTTTTTTTCAATGTCTTCCAAATTCAAATTACCTCATAGCTCATATCATGAGAAACTGTTCGTCAAAAATTATTCTATGTTTTTTATATCAGTTTCTTTGAACCGTAATGTCTTTCAACTATTATCTTAAAATTACCTCATACCCCCATCATTTATGATATTTTAATAATTAGTCCAACTATGAGGTAACTTATAATTATGGTTCGAGATATTGGCTATTTCCATCATCTTTTTTCAACCAGGTTGGCTCATACTTGAAGTATTTAGAAAATAAGAAGAAGAAAAAAACTTAGAAAATAAGAAAAAGAAAAATACTACTAGCTCAAAAATCGTGTTGTATATAGTTATTGCCATTCAAATCACATGCAAATATAAATTAGTATCCTTAACATCTTTTTACGAAAAATATATAATACTTGTTATATTTATTGAGAATATTAATTAAGTAGTGTTTAAAATTAGATTTATTTATTAAATTTCATATCAAATAATTAAATGAGAAAAATTTTACACTTTTTTATATGAGGATATTTTGGTAAAAAAAATATAAGATAATGGTAGTAGAATAAATGATGGGGTATGAGGTAAAATTTTCTTGTTAGCATGTTGAATTGGGCCTTCCTTGTAAGCCCAGTTGTTTAAATTAGTTTGTACCCTAAGTTAGCTTGTAATGGGTAATTGTTAAAAAGCCCATTAGGTTAGTGTGTTATTTTATTATAAATAGGATGCTAGTTTCTCAATCTTGGCAATAAGAAAAAATAGGAAGATAAAATCCTAATTTCAAAGGAGAGAGGTTTTGCCTTCCTTATTAACCCTAACCCTGGTGTGTTTCTTGATCATTTAGAAACCGTTTATACTTTGTTATAAGGTACCTTGCCTTCTTTATTAACCCTAACCCTTATGTGTTTCTTGATCATATAGAACCCGTTTATACTTTGTTATAAGGTATCCGATTCACAACAGTATATAATTTGTATATTTATGTATAATTTAATTAAGCACTCATTACATGAGTGTTTGTGCTATAACCACTTTTCATATAAGTGCTTATGGGCAAACGATTTCTATATAAAAAGATAAAATAAAGTCAGCAAATTATTTCATATAAGCTATAAGCTATTTTCATTAACTATCCTAAAGAGCTTTTCAAAAAAATATGAAAACAACTTATGGACATGATTATACACACTTACACACTTTGTAGCTACTATTACATTGTTTTGTTTAACCAATTGAGCTTTTGTTCCCAGAATGGCATCCAATAGGGGTCAAGGAGGAATTCAGCAATTGTTGGCTGCTGAACAAGAAGCACAACGGATTGTGAATGCTGCGAAAAATGGTATTTGTTCTTTTCGTTATGTCTTTGTTCTCATGTTCTTGATCTTCCCATGCTTTCATCCAATTTTCGGTCTAGTTATCCTTCTTTATTTGTCTAACTAAAGACTAGCTTTGAACTTCTAGGCAGTTTTCAACTAAAACAAGTATTTAGTTTATAAGTCGTACAAAAAGCTCTTATAAGTTGTAATGCTGTTGGAATTTACCTAGAAGCTAAACAAGAACTTTCGAAAAAAATTGAACTGTAGAGGTTGATTTTATTTTAACTTATGAGAGAAGTTATTTAGTTATAATACTCATAATTGTAAGATCATCTCAACTTTTTCTTTTCTATAAGTGCTTGTAGAAATTTCTTCTCAACTTTACAGTATGTTTGAAGTTTTCATTGATAGAATGTAATGGGATGAAGTGGAGTAGAATAGAATAGGATAACGGCCCAGTGTTTGGATTTTAAACTAATTGATAGAGTGGAGTAGAACCTGGCGGGATCTATTCCAACCATTCCATCATCTCCATTTTTGTTCCCCCAGTTTAGGAGCTATAGGATGGAATCATTAATCCTAATCATCGGGATAAGGATCCTCTCCACTTCTCAAAAGAAATAGAGATGTCTATTACTATAGTTTTTTTGAGTGAATAAATGTTAGAAATCAACATTTCATAAATTGGCGACATTAATTCGACATTTATACACTGAAACTATGTAATGGAGATGTCCATTTGTTTTAAGAATTTGAGAGGATTTCTACACTAATCATCTGCAATGCAACCGATGTTGTGTTCTTCCTCACTGGCTCTACATCGATGGTTGTCGTATGCACCTATTTCGAAAGCTATCTCATGTTCTTCTCTAGCTCTGCCTAAATGGCTGGTATACTTGCCTCTTCTCAAATTGCTGTTTAAGCTTTTCCTGCTACAGTATCAACTACTTGCTTTATTTACTGGGGTCCTTACAGTAGTAGTATAATTCAATTCCACTTCACTTTGTTCTGTACTTCAGTTCCATTCACTTTTCATATAATGGAAAGAACACATTGTTTTGTTCCATCATAAACGATTTAAACAATGGTATGGATGCCTTACAGTAGTTGGATAATTCAATTCCACTTCACTTTGTTCTGTTCATTCGGTTCCGTTCACTTTTCATATAATGGAATAAACACATTGTTCTGTTCCATCAGAAAATATTTAAACAATGGTATGGATGCTTTGTTTCGTTCTTCTCCATTCAATTCCACTCTATTTTGTTGCGTTCCGTTTATTTGAAAATATTTAGAGTTACAATCATTTGCGTCAAGGGTTATGTTCTTGTTATTCTTTTTTATTCAGTTCTTTTCATTTTACGCCAGGAGTTTGTTTTATGTGCATGGTTTTTCCCCCTGTCCGAATGTGATTTTATCTATGATTTTTCTGTGCACATCTTTTCAAACATTTGCTTATACAACTAATCAATGCTATCCTTTGGACATCCACTATTAGAAAAATCGGCTAGGTTGAAACAGGCCAAAGAAGAGGCCGAAAAAGAGATTGCTGAATACCGTGCCAAGCTTGAATCTGAGTTTCAAAAGAAAGTTTCGGATGTAAGTCTACTCTTTGATAAACACATCTGTTAGACTACTGCTTTATCTCATTCTAAGATGTGATGTATTCTCCAATTTGTGTTCTTGTTTTCCTATGAATACAGACTAGTGGTGACTCTGGAGCTAATGTTAAGCGACTTGACCAAGAAACCGAAGAAAAAATCCATCACTTGAAAGAAGAAGCTGCAAGAATTTCGGAGGATGTTGTTGCCATGCTCCTTAAGTGTGTAACAACTGTGAAAAAGTAGGAACCTTTGATGATATGTTGGTGCAGCTGAGTGGACCCCCTAAGTTATGTTGATTATCATATCACAAGTTTATTTTTGTATCCAGATATTAAGGCGTGGAGAACATTACCATTATTTAAAACCTTTATTTGATGTATTAAAATAAATAATTTCGAGTTTGTTCAGATTTACAGTTCAAAATTCAAAGACATTGTGTTGATGTTGTAACAAATGTATGAGGAGTGACGACCATATCTTTAGGTGTGTCAAGTAGAATGCATTGTTTATACCTTCCTTAACAACGCAACTCGTGTTATTTCTCAATGTAAGCACAGGACGAATTGTGTATCTGCTATAATAATCACTTTTCTTAACCCTGGATCCGTATCTAAGAGTGTTGTGAGAATGCTATTTTGAGGCATATCTTATGCTTTCATTTGTTAATATATCATCTGTTTTTGGTCTTTTAAAAAAAGAGTATCCAAGAGTTTTCGAATGAAATTGTTTGGGTATTTTCTAGCTTACCTATAAGCCACTGTTGAGAAAATTGTAGTTATATTTGGCTAGCGATACGAGTAGGCACTTCTTTTTAACGTTACGAAGCGTTGGCTAAATTTAGGACTTCGCTAACCCATCACAAATTGCTCATGAATTGTAGTTTATTTTTATCCAAATGTTTGAGGCCTTGGCCTATCCAAAAAGATATGATAGGTCAAACGTGATGTTTAAAAATGAATTGTCACTTATATATAAAATAATCAAGGTAGTATAATTTATAATATGAATAAATTCTGACACAAAATTCAGAGCACGATACAAATATTTTGACATTTATAATCGCAAAAGCATAAGACATCGACACCACTGTATTTTAATAATATTTGAACTTTATTTTCTATCAATTATTAAAAACAATTAAAATTAATGTTTTCAATTTTTCAATAACATTGATTTAATATATATATATATATATATAAAGCGTGCTGAAATTTTTTTTACTTAACCAAAAGAGTTTTTTTTAAATATTTGTTTGAATTATCCAACACATATTAAATAAATATTATAAGAGTGGTAGACATTAATATATGAGTTTAATTGATATGCACTGACAGTATAAAATCATTTTACACTGTCATTCAATAAAAAATCAACCGTCTGTCACATCATTAAATTTTTTTAACATATCAGCGTGATGTGGCGGGACTCATGGTCGTTATTGGTTGACAGTGTAAAAATAATTTACACTGTCATTGCATATCAATTAAATTCTTAATTTAAAGAGTGTTAAAATATTTTTTGGAAACATTTATTTGACTTTCTTAACATCTATTTATATTTTAAACATGTTTAGTAAGAATGTGATATAAGTGTCAAACACTTCGATAAACCAATTTCTAAAAGAGTATATTTTTATAGATTAGAGAATTTTTAAATGCACTCTATATACTATTAGGGCACCACATGAAAATACTAAAAATACCACTAAATTTCAGAGATGCATCTCCAAACACACCTCAAATAAACACATTCTAGGCCAATTTTGAGTCATGACCTCAAATATGTCCGTAGAATTATCTCCATAGCATACTGAAATAGGAAAAAAAAGCAACAAATCAGAAAGTTGTATTTTGATAAAATAAAATTATCATTCATAACATAAAATCAGCATTACATAGGCGATGTTAACAGAAAATCAAACATTACATTTCAATATTCAGATGGATGCTTCATCATCTTCACAATATCTTTGATCGATCTTGAAATCGTTGCTTCCACCACGGTCAAAACTTTTGTTTCGAAACGGAAAAATGTATTCCACATAGCCCTTACATTTGAGTCCGTCTTGAGCTCATAGTTGTTGAACTCAATCTGCACTTCATATTGCTCTTTTTGATGTGATAAAACATAAGAATGAAGATTTGGACTGAAAATGTTGATTGAGAATGGAAGAGTTTTTGGAAAGGATTTGGAGTGAAAAATAAGTATGGGTCTATGATCATGCAAGTAAGAAAAGAAACTCGGGGGTACCGAATCTAGGGAAAATGACGTTTTTAAACATCTTGATCATTGCTTGCGCATCTTTTGTAGGAGAGGCAACAACCTCAATTCATTTAGACACGTACTCTACAACAACAATTATAAATTTGTTCTCATTTAAATACGGAAACGAACCCATGAAATCAATCGCTAGACATCAAATCTCCACTTATAGGATTGGCTTTTAGGGCATCTCATCCCTCCTTAAAATGTTTCTAGTGCGTTAGCATTGGACACACTCCATGGCAAAAATATGCACATCCCTAAAAATGGTAGGCTAATAAAGGCCGGATTGGAGAATCTTGGCAGCAATCTTGGATATGCTCATATGCCCTCCATAAGGCAAAAAGTGACAAGGATAATGACACTCTCAATCTCCTCGTCAGAAACATATCGGCAGAAAATATTGGCGACACCTCTTTTAAATAGGAGAGGGTCATTCTAATAATATTATTTTAGGTCATGGAAGAATTTCTTCTTCTGTTGATAGGTCACGCCAAGAGGCAAGACACCAACTACGATGTAGTTGATCTAACTAGCATACCAAGGAACTAAAGATTTAGCTATAACAACCGCCTCCTCTTGTTACTTCTTTATGCCAGAACTGCCCTCCTTGAGAAAATCAACAAGATGAGCATAATGGGGCGCTTCGGCTCTGATAAAAGCTACCAACCTATCATATGGGAAATTAATCATTAATGGGTAGTTCTCAAGACTTACCATATTTGATTCTAGACAAGTGATCCACCGCCACATTTTTAGTACCATTCTTATCTCGGATCTCCATGTCAAACTCTTGCAATAGTAAAATCCATAAAATCAACCTCAAGTTCGCATCCTTCTTACTCAATAGGTACCGAATATCAGTGTGGTCTGTGTATACAATAATTTTCGATCCTACGAGATATGAATGAAATTTATCGACCGCGAACATGACGGCTAGAAGATTTTTCTCAGTAGTAGCATAGTTAATCTCAGCTACATTTAGGGTCCTACTGGCATAGTACATGGCGTGCAGTTCTTATCTCTGCGCTATCCTAAAACCGCGCCTATTACGTAATCACTAGCATTATACATGATCTTAGATGGTTAGCTCCAACATAGAGATTGCATTATGGGAATGGAGATCAATGAACTTTTTAGCAATTGGAAATACTCATGGCATCATTCATCGAAGATGAACTCAACATCCTTTATCAAAAGACCAGTCATGGGTTTGGTGATCTTAGAGAAGTTTTTTATGAATCGGCGGTAAAAACCAGAGTGTCCAAGAAAGCTCTGAAACTCTCTAACAATTTTGGGAGCTCGCAAATTCTCAATCACCTTTATCTTAGCTCTATTAACCTTGACATCTCTAGCCGACATCAGGTGTTCAAGGACTATGCCTTCCTTCACCATGAAGTAACATTTCTCCCAATTTAAGACAAGGTTCACCTTCACACATCTCTCAAGTACTTTTTTTAGATTAGCCATACAGTTTTCAAAACTTGACCCACATACAGAAAAGTCATCCATGAAGATTTCATAGTTGGGAGTCATAACAGCTACGGTAGTGTCATACCACAATTTTATCCAGACATTTTAAAACTTTCATGCATCTAATTTTACTCTACTTTGCATCATTTGCATAACATAACATGCATTTCATTACATATAATACCTAAAATGTCTACAAGAACAAAATTTTGGATATACATATAGATCGATTGAATCATATCACAAATGTACATAAAATTAGAAGGCAAAATGTTTCGAAATCGAGCTTTTGACTACTTTTTCAGTCGCATTTTGATCAGCCTGAGCCTCTTCAACCGAACATTTTTTACTTCAACATTTGATCAAAACCTGTCTATTTTCTAGAAGTTTATTTAACGTTGATCATTTTAGTGCATTCATTTTAATTTTTCGCGCACTTTCGGACTCGATTTTTATTTATTTTGAGTCCTTTTATTTTTATTTTTTTCAAATAGTTTAAGAGTTAATCAATGGTATGTTGATATCAAGTTGTTTAAGAATCTCTATGAACTTGCTAAATTGTTGCTATTCTTTGGCTTTTCTGATTTTTTGAGGAAAGGGAGGTGATGGTCTTTCTTGAGTAAATATGGGCAACTTGTTGACCTATGGCATGGCTAGAGTTTGCTTTTTAGGTTTTGAGGTCATGTCAATTGTCTTCAACTAAGCCATTTCATGCACTGGTATTTCTTCATTGTCTTCTTCTAAAACCAGTTCCTCACTTGAATCAACTTTCTCATTTTCTGATTTGTCCTAAGCTGACAGTTCTTTAGTTGGCACCTCATTTCTTATAGATGTTTATCCTTCACATTCTTTTCCACTTATTAGAGCTTGGGAGTGCACCTATATTTCTTGAATTAAGGGAAATAACAATTTTCCCCACTTGATTGTCTAGATTTTTGATGCTAACTCCTTGAGATTAAAATTGATTTTTGGCCTCTTGAATGAAGGATTTCAGTATGTTCTCCAATTTCTTATTCCCTTTATTAGCCACAACATAATTTGGTGAAGGAAAACCAGGTGGGACTTGTGGTATTTGAGATGCTTGAGCTTTGAGTTGACTTTGATTGTTGATCCATGAAAGTTTTGGGTGGTTACACCAACCACATTTATAGGTGTTGTTGTAGGGTTTTTATATTGTTGTTACCATCATAGTTAACTGACATTGGATTAGAGAAACAATCCTAAAATAGGTGGGCACCTCCACAGTAGACACATGTAAATTCTGATGTGTCAGTCACCACCTTGATAGGTTTATCTGCTAGCACCACAAAACTAGTCATCTTATTTTTCATCATTTGATGAATTTGAGCTATTTAAGCATAAAAAGCAGTAGTTTCAGTAACTTCATGCACTCCAGCTGGCTTTTTTTGACTAGGTGTAAGGGAAGCTCTTGAAATCAACCATTGATAAGTGTTGACAGTAATACTTTCAATCAACTTATAACCATCTTCATAAGAATTTGACAACAA